TGTGTAATTACTTTAAAATAATATTAAGGATGCTTGAGGGATTCAGTCAAAGCAAGGATAAACTGATCCATGGATCAGTAGTTAGCCGGTTTTGATGTTCAAAATATTCATATAATTTTCTCACTTAGGAAAAAAAAGATATCTGTGTTTTGAAAGGAAATGTCTTCTGAAATATTATTTTAAAGTAATTACACACACACACACACACACACACACACACACACACACACATGAACACACACAACATGTACAATATTAATAACTTCTCTTAAACAAATCTCATCTCTTATTAAGCAATTAAATTTTATTTCATCCTAGACCAGCAAATAAAACAAGAAAATTTCCACTAATTAGGGTAAAAAGGAAAAAAAAAAGCTTCTAAAGATCAGGGGGAAAAAACAATGGAATACTGTATAAATTATAGAAAAGTACTTAGCTATAGTCAAAGAAGTAAAGTCAGATTGATCTGTTAATAATAACTTCAGATAAAAAAGATCAGAGTGAATCCCTAAAGGGATGGCTGGTGATAGAGCATTGAATCTGGCCAAGGATAAAACACTTTCAAGTTTTGGAATTTGATCCAAAATTGTTTTCTAATTGTTATGTAACTGAGGTATCTGGCTGGTTGAAGACGGCGTGCAGAGTGGCTCAGAATGATGTTTCTAGGTAGAACTGATAAATCTACTTGCAATTCTAAATCAATGACACACTGCTTGAGACCAGCTAATGTGCATTCATAGCCCATCAGGGTGATCGCTACTCATGAAAAGCCATAAGTAGCAGTTTGGCATATATTGCCTGGCACCAGGGAGGCTGAAGGTCATAATTAAAGGGACCAAGCCAGATGGAAAAAAAAATCTTAAGCCAATTTGAGAAAATGAAAATACAGTTAGAAGTTTCTATTTTAAATACACCAGCTTCATGGAAAAGCACCAAGTTCAGAATGCGAAAAAGTACTTGGAAAATTGATCTGAAAAAGTTGGATTACACTGCAAAAAGAAGGTTAACCAGCAGGAGCCAAACTGAACTCCAAAAAGGAGCTAACCTTAGATTTTAGCTGAAAAGAAGCATATGTTGGGCTCAAAGGTGGTATTCAGCAGGTTCTCACCAGTTCTGGAAAACTGGTAGCGGAAATTTTGTGTAATTTGGAGAACCGATAAATACCACCTCTGATTGACCTTGCCCCCATCTATTCTCTCAGCTGATTGGGAGGGAATGGGGATTTTACAGTATCCTTCCCCTGGAGTGGGGAGGGAATGGAGAATTTACAGTATCCTTCCCCTGAAGTGGGGAGGGAATGGAGATTTTACAGTATCCTTTACCTGGAGTGGGGAGGGAATGAAGATTTTGCAGTATCCTTCCCCTGAAGTGGGGAGGAAATGGAGATTTTACAGTAGTCTTCTCCTTCCACGCCCACCAAGCCATGCCACACATACCAAGCCATGCCATGCCCACCAAGCCAGGCCCACAGAACTGGTAGTAAAAAAATGGAATCCCACCACTGGTTGGGCTCCTTTGGCAATGTAGAAGCATTGTAAAGCTGTCACTGTATTATTGTGCATTTAAGGTAACTTAATCAGGGTTGTCTGTATTATGGAAAACAGTCCCCAGATATATTTAAAGCTCTTCACTTGCTTTATTAAGTGATTATTTAGCCACCAAAGCCCCGTGCTTTAGTGTACCTAGCAAAAACTGCAACCTTAGTTTTAAAGTAATTAATTTCTAGATATTCTTCTTGACACTGCTCAGCAAGTACATGGAGCACCTGTTTCAAGCCAACGTGTGTGAGAGAAGCAGAATCTGCATACAAAAGAACAGAAAAATGTCTATTTGCCAATTTTTGTGGATGAAAAGATGGACTATTGAACTTCTCTATAAGGGAGTTTATATAGATTAGAAAGGCTAGAATATGTTCTTGTCTCACTCCTTTTGAAGCGATTTTCTTGGTGTATTGTCTTTGCACATAACATCAAGTTTTAATCTAGGAGTTTTCACTTGATTTGTATATAAATAATTTTATTAACCAAGAAGAATTCAATCAGGGACCTTATTATAGTTAACAATATAGGTGAATAGGGAAGCCAAAATGAATACACACTAGTCTAAATCACTGTGAATGATTTCTTATTTATAAACAAATAGTTAGAGCCTCATTTTTCAGTTCTGGTCAACAAAAGTCCATTAAGGGTTACTAGCAATAATAACATTTACTTTAACATTGATCAAATAAAGCTTCTTTATGTTTAATTTATTTTTAATAATCTTGATCTTTAATCCATTCAAATAAAATCTTAGAATTTTATTCCTTTTCATGATTTTCCTTGTCCCTTTTTACCATTTTTCCCCAAAAGTTTAACAAGAATCTTTTGTAAATCCAATAGAAGATCATTATCCAGAATTACTCTCTTGGTTTGATATTGTGTATCCCTTTTAATTAAGACATCAGCTAGTTTTCTTCATATACTCAACGTAACAATTTTTCCATATCATTCTTATAGCCTGTCATTTTTAAACACACTTTTAGATCCATCTCAGACTTGCCTAGTAAGTCTGTTTCATCTTTTAAACATTTTTAAACATATACTCTATAATAACAGACACTAATTAAGTGTCGTTTAAGAAAATTAAAGTTTAAGAAATTAAAATTAATTTCTGATCCATTGTTGACAAATATTATTAATTACATTCAGTGTTAATGTACTTTGTTCCATTCTGCATCAATAAATCAAATGTAAGTGCTTCTTTCATCCTAATCTTTAATTCCTCCTGGTTCCCTCTAGTGTCCAACCTTCAGACTCCTATCCTATCTTTTTTTTTTTTTAATTCACAGCAACAGCACCTTCCCATGGGAAGGATTCTTATTATTAATTTCAAAAACTTATTTTAAATCCACTTGAACCCTTCATCCATTTGTAACTTTCCAAAATCAGTCACTTTTGCTGTTTATGTTGTTTTTTTAAAAAGTCAACTTGTATTTAAAACCTCTTTTGCTAAGGATGGAAGGAAAATCACCCGTCTTATATAATGTGTTGATCCAAAGATTCCTAATAACTGGAAAGCAGATTTATTAGTGATTAGACAAGGAAGTCTATTGTAAGTCCATTGTCCATAAACATGTGGTTTTAGCAAGGTGGCTATTCCCTCTTCTCCCAGAGCTCTATACCCACCAGTGACCAATGTATTGCAGTCTCCTCGCAGGGAGTACTTGTGGGTGATCTCAAGTCCTCACCCTGCCCTGGAGAGGGATATGAAGAGCCAGTCTACTCACCAGCTGTTCATTCTGCCGCATTTGTTGGCTATCCTCTCAGCCATTTCTTTTCTGGAAGTCCGTTTAGAAACGTTATTATGATGATCATTCAAATGTATAATTAAATCTCTAGTAGAATGCAAATTTTATGGAGTAAAACATAAATTAGTAAATTAACATAGACAGAATGCAAGAGATTTATAAGTGGGCATATGCAAATAACTAAAAACAAAATAATTCATATATCTTTCAGTAATGTGTCAGTAAAACTTAGGTGCTTAATGAATTTTATAATTAAGTTTAAGAGAAAAACATTTAAAGCTGAAATACAGTAAAGTATGCATTGTAGGTGATGGTAGGTATGGATTTTTTTTAAAAATCTTGTCTCCTGATTTTTAATTTGTTTTTCATAATTTTAATTCAGTTTTGTTTTCTGTTTTCCCCTTGGGTAAACAAATAGAGGAAAGGGTCCATAAATAGTTTGGTGCGTGTAAAACTCTATTAGCATCTGCAAAGAATACCATGTGGATTTTTACAAAGTATTTTTAACTCTTACATTATTTTCTTTAAAAAATGGTCCTTTGTGACACTCCATGGTGACTTTCTCTTAATGTTGACAATTTATGATTTATGACCTTACCATCTATCTAAAAAATAATAATATCAGGAGGGTACATTGTCTCTTGAAAACATTCACTTCTTTTTTCGTAGTTATTGCAGTGGGATATTTTTTTCCTTGGGATTGAGGAGGGGGTTAGGTTACTTTTAGACAATGTTAAGAAAATCAACTTGCTGACCAGGAATATATATCTTATTTTTCTCCACAGGAAAAAGCTCGGCATTTACAGAGTGTGCTTGTCTCGCAAGTAGATAAATCCACACAGACTGAAGTTGTAGGCCATGATGTAAGTAACTGCACTTTACAGGGATTTTTCTCGTTTATCTCCAGAATTAATATTTAAATCTCTACCCGCCTCTTTTTTTCTTGCCACTTCTGTGCTTGTGCATTATCGCAAAAGTGGGCCACTTCATTCATCTTTTGCTCCTAAATGATTCCTAAATATCTTCTGCAACTGAAAAAAAAAAAAACCCTTCTATCTGCTGGCACACTATGCTTCCGTAATTATGTGTTTTATCAACAGTCTTCTTCCATTCTCTAAATTTCCTCTGAGGTAAATATGAGAAAATTTACCAGCAGAATTTGAAATCTTTCTATGTATGTGTGTGTGCATTTACTTGCTTGTCAATAACCGGATGAATCTGTTATGCTTGTAATCATCAGAAGCTCAAATCATTTTCTTTTCTTGTTTTACAAAGGAAAGCGTTCAGAAATTTGTCAAGAGTTTTAGATTCATATTTTAATCGTTGGGTCTCAGTGGGGAATATTGTTGGTAATTTAACTGAAAATTAGTTGTTTTTCCCTGGTGAGAGTATGAACAGTGGCTATTAAGAAAATGCTCACGTTGATGGAACAGTTAAAAGAGTTTTGGTTTCTTCTTGCTTTAGAATCTGCCTTCAAAGGGTATTGGTAATCAAGGTTTGGAGAGAAAACCTAAAACAGAATTATTGTTTACTTAAAGATCATCCTGTTATCTTTTGCTTTTTGGTATCCTTGGTCTAAAGTAAATGCCTGACCTTTGATGTCAGCTCTATCCTTTGATGTGGATTGTTGTCTTCTGTTTATTTGTAGGGAATTTCTCTTTTTCACATTTGGAGTGAACTGCATGGCACAGATATATGTGTAGTGGTGTTTTTGTTTTTATGGGGATTTTTTGTGTATAATGTTCATTAAATTTAAAGGATCACCTTTTCATTAAGACATTAAGGAGATTCTGTCTTAGCACTCTGTCCACAGTTAACATGGGAAAATGTATTGCTTGAACTCTTGCATTTACCAAGTTTTACTCTGCATTTATTTGGGGGCTGCACGGATTTGATTGCTCAACCTTGGATCATTTTTCTATCTTATCAGTAGCCACCAGTGATAAAGGTCTATAATTTTGAGAAAATTATATGTATATACCTATTATACATACATTATCATCTGCATCAAATGTATACAAGGTCTAAAAAAATAATATTAATAACTGAACACAGTACAGTAAAGCATCAGAAAGAGCAATAAATTATGACCGCCAAGAGAACCATCAATTTTACAGTAAAACACAATAACAGTAATAAATCATCAAGTTGCAGTCTGACTGAAATAAATAAACAATTCAGAAGCAAAACAAGATTACTTCAGGAAAAATGTAATGGGTCTAATTGGAAAGGAAACTTATAGGAGGCGGCATTACTGAGATAGTGGTTGATTTACCCTCCCACCCCCCCCCCATCAGTTTAAGATAACTGGTTTGCATTTATTATCCATTTTACATATACTGTGGATTCAACGTGTTGCTTTCCTCATGTTTTCCTAAATCATTCATTAAGTTAAATAAAATATCCAGTTTTGCAGGGATTTTTCAGCTGCATGTTAGGTTCCAAATCGATACAGAAGTTTCACCAAATGGGTATTATTTAAGTCATTATGACTAACTTTTTTGTTATTCAAAATTGGTACAATTTCTTTTTCTTCTTTTTTTTTTTTAAAAAAATGTGCCAGATATACTTTAAAAGGTGATGTGGCTTAGAACTAGTTTTGATCCATTTGGAAAAGGTTGTCTATTAAGCAGTTTATATAAGATATGTTGGGCCACAGAATGTTATTGTCTAGTTGAAAACAATGGATGTTTAAAATCATGATGTCTTGAAGATTTTGCTAACATGTGCTTTAAAGTTTCATATATTAACATGAAACACAGTGGAGTTTTGTTATTTTCAGAAAGCTTTGAACAAATTCTTCCTTTAAAGAATGAATTTGCAAGGTTGATTTGCTCAGCTTTTGTTCACCCTGAATTCAAATCTAATTTTGGTTTCTTATCAACATACAGGGGTTCCCCCCCCCCCAAAAAAAAAGATTATATTCCATTTTACTTCCTACAAGAAAGAGATGACTTTAAGGGTACATTAGACATCAGACAAAGGAAACCTCTAAATAAGTTAGATGTGGATAACTTAGGATAGGTACATTTAAAGCTTAGAAACAAGTTAGTTCTAAGTGTGTGTGTGTGTGTGTGTGTGTGTGTGTGTGTGTGTGTGTGTTCGTTCCAAGACTGAAAGACATATGCACTACAATATACAATATTGTATATAAAAGTTTGATTACTTTCCTAAATTCTGCATCATTAGTACTCCCCCCACCAAGTGGCTGCATATGTTGGTAACCTCAGCCAGGCCCATTTGCACCCCAGTCTAAAATAATAATAATAATTATAATTATAGTAATCTAGGCTACAAGATCTGATAAAGAATGGTAGTAATTCAAATAAAGAAACTAGTTTAACATAATAAAACTGAGGGGGAAATGATGGGGTGGAGATGGAGCAAGGGTTTCATCATGTTTATCCAAGTTCTAATACCACAAATAAATGATTTAAAGACAAATCGTCAAATTTCTGTGTTTAATTGGTAGCTATATATAGACATGAAAAGCAAAGCTGATTTCTTCAATTAGAAGTGTCAGTTTAACTTTCTTATCCTTGCTTTATTTTTATTTTTTTCAGAGATTGCTTCAATAGAGAGATCTAGGTTTTATTTCTTTTTAGTCACTTGATTTATTAAAACAGGGAGAATGGGAAAACCATTGGGTTTCACTGCATTGATGGCGAAAATGCATGAACTCATGGGGTAAATCTTAATTTAGGCTTTTGTGAGGGATCAGATGGGGGAGGCCTGTAATGCTTTTCTCATATCCATTTGTTTTCCTACTTCTAAAGCTATGAATTTCTCACTTCACAACATGATGGAATATTTTCTCTTATCTGTTGAAGAAACAGTTCTCAATTGTTACATATGTTATAGGGATTTTTTTTAGATGGTTTAAGATGCATACTCAGTTTGACTTTGTCCATTATGAACCACTAGAATCAAATGTGTGCTGTAGACATGTTGAGGGAAAGAAATAAGTGGTAATAAATAGTAAATAGTTTCCAATAAAGCTGCTTGCAATGTTGCTGGTATTCTTGGAAGCTTGGTGGGTAAATTTGGGCCACTTGTCACATAAACCTAATCTACCCGATAGGTTTTTTGGGGGAGGGGAGGGGGGAGAAAATGAGAGAAAAAATTGTGTGCCCTTTTTTTAGTTCCCGAAGGAAAAATGCAAATAAATCTAATCAGGAAAAATTAGAACAAGCAAAGAATATTGGTTTGCTTCTTGTGTCCCAGCCAAATTCTCTGGCAATTAAAAGTTAGCTGTTCAGTGCTTTGTGTATCCATATGTGCATACACTGGGAACATCTGAGTTTTGAAACCTATAAATGAAATTCTAAAACCGTCAAAAGTGTCTTTTTGCAGCCGAGCTCTTAATTAACACATGCATTAGCACAGTTGCCACTGCTGTGCTTTCTGTCTGCTAATTTTTGCTAAGTATCCAAAATAGCTACTATTAGCAGAAGACAACATGGCATCTGAAAAATGACTCCTCTGATCCGACAGATGTACATGGCCTTAAGATTTACAGATTTAACAAAAAGGGGGGAAAACATGGTTGAATTTCTCTCTTTTTCTCTCCCCCTTCCCTTTTAAACATAATTCACAAGCATAAAACAGCTCTTCTATAAATATAATACTTGTGAAAGATGCATAGGCAAGATGGTTTCTCAAGATAGCCTGATGATCTCCTTTGGCTTAATATTCACATAAGCCACCATATGTCTTCAAACCGATAGAGAACCCTGTTGTTGGAACCTTGAAATTGGAATTCCATAGCCTAAACACCCTGTCCCCCCTTCATTTAGTTTGTCTGCAATTCCAGTCATCTTATCTGCTAGTAAACATGGCAGCAAACAGGCAATATATTCTTGTAGACGCTGCAGCATAAATCTCTTAAAGCTAATGAGCTGTTCAACATAATGTACAGTTCAGCTCTCTTTTTTTTTTCTTCCCCTGATGCCTGTAGCACATTTTCACAGCAAATTTTTAAAGGCTAGATGGACTGATAAACAGCTTTCCCTAGTGGTTCCCTAAAAGTGACTGGAATATTTTGTCCTTCTCATCTGCTGGTCAACAAACAAAATGTATCCTGATTCTCTTACCTGTTTTTCCGAGTAACCATTCTAGATGTCTCCAGTATATTCCCAAAGGAGAGGGAAGTGGGGATGGGGGGGGGGAGAGAGAGAGAACGGGTTCTAGAAGGCGCTGTAGATTTGTGGAACCTCTTCTATAGAAGAGGTTAGAACTGGCAGAAAGAGAGAGAGAGAGAGAGAGAGAGAGAGAGAGAGAGAGAGAGAGAGAGAGAGAGAGAGAGAGAGATACACAAACAGAAA